GGTCAAGAAAGTAACTTGAGAAACCTTGTCAGATTGGGCTTCTGCTAGTTCTCATGAAAATAAAGTGAGGGAGGGGGAAGTACATTCAGAAATGCATGATATTCTTATTGTTCCAATTGCAATGAAAGTACTCCTGGTGTACATGGCTTTGGTGTTTGAATCTGAACTACTTTGTAGGGTTGATATTATACGATCTAGTCAAAGCAAGATTCTAAGCCAGAGAGCGAACAGCATTGGCCCGTAAGCCCTATCTGGCTCTTGGGCTCATTTCAAACTTCCTGTGCAGAGGTAGCATTCAGCAGGTTCTGACCAGTTCTAGTCAGAACCGTTAGCAGAAATTTTGAGTAGTTTGGAGAACCAGTAAATACCACCTCTGAGTGGCCCCGTCCCCATCTATTCTCTGCCTCCCGAATTCCCGAATGGGGATTTTGTAGTATCCTCCCCCTGCCACGCCCACCAAGCCACACCCACAGAACCAGTAGTAAAAAATTTTTAATCCCACTACTGTTCCTGTGTATGTAAAAAGATCAGCTTTCTCATAAAGTGGTCTTCACCTGTGTTTTGGAAGAGAATGTCAAAAAGAAATGAAAAGAGGTGTCTGAGAAAATAAAGTCCCTACTCACTTTTACCTTGCTCACAGCTTACTTATATTTTAGCCAGCATGTACAGCATTTCTTGGATTTTCTTGGCAAAATGTTTGCAGACCCTTGATACTGAGAGTATCAAAGAATCAAAGAACTCTTTAAATGAACGTGTTTTGTTAAGTTGCAGACCATAAACTGTAGGACTAATATTAGATTATAGGAAAAAGAATTACAAGTAGTCTTTGTTTAGTGACTGCTTGGTTTGGCGTCTGTTATAATGGTGAGGAAAATGTAAGCTTACAATTTATGCAGGTCTGTAAAACAAAAGAAAGCTGAAGTAAGATTTTGAGTGCAGTTATGATTTCACTTAACAACCTCTTCACCTAATGACCAAAGTGTGCTGGTCCCAACTGTGGTCACTAAACAAGAACAAGAAATAATGTTATTAGATATATGGCTACTGTTCAACAGAAATAAAAACAAATAAAAAAACCTAAATTTACAAAGTAGTTGATTTTATTTATCAGGATATTGGTATCTTATTTCTTATTTATTTTTAAAAACTATGCTCATAAGCAGACATAAATTAGCTATGATAATTTATAAATGTACTATGTTGCTAAATAGATTGGTGATGCAGGAACCTATTAACAGAAGGCTTTAATTTGTTTTTATATAAACAAATTTGATGTAAAATGTGTCCTCATTACTTCTTTCTTTGGCTGGCATCTTTTTAAAATTTCACCAGGCTAATGCGGCACACAAAACTCCAGAGAGAAAAGTATCAAAGGATATGCAGTTTGGTTGGATAATTGGCCTGATCAGATACGCCAGAATTGGTGTAAAAACAGTTCATACCTTTTCAAAAAGTTGTGGAATTTTCATTCTTGATGATTTTTGAAGAAGCTTTTTAAAGTTGAATGATTTCACTGATATCCTGTTTAAAGTTTGGAAAAAGTAGAACATGTAAACTAAAGAGAAAATCAGTATTCAGCTGCACCCATTTACCATATTTTTCGGAGTATAAGATGCTCTGAAGTATGATGCACCTAGCTTTTGGGGAGGAAAACAAGGGGGAAAATCTGCCTGCCTCCCAGCAATTTGCCTCCTTGCAGCCAACAGCAAACAGTACAGACTATATACACTGTTTGTGGTGTATTTCTGTGCATGTGTGCCTGATCCATAGGAAAGCAAAGAATTGGTGAAATGTACATTATGGCAGTATATTAATGCCAGAAAATTGTCTTAAATGTAGTCACACTAACTCCTACCAATTATTTAAATAGATCTACTCCAAATATGACTAAGTCAGGGTCTAGGTCAGCAGCTTTAATACTATAACAGGACACTGTTACATTTCAGACTATGCTTGTACAGATGCTGTTAAAATTGATGTAGCTTTCTGGAAGTATATGTTATTCTCTGCTATTTAAAAGAAGCTACAATAGCACTGGGCCTCTTCAGATCAAGCATTTATTTTAAAAAGCTTCTTCATTTTATTAAGTTGTCTAGAACAATAATAAAACTGTCTTTAAAAAATAAGTCTAATAATTTGATCATTCTATAGGCATTTATAGTTATTGACTTACCTCTTTGCAGCAAACAGCCTGTTTCAGTATAGCCTGATTAGCACAAGAAAAAAAAAATCTGCCTCTGCCTCCCAGCAATTTGACTCCTTGCAGCAAACAGCAAACAGCCCATGGTAATCCCTGCATCTTGAAACAGCTGAAGGTCAGAAGGCTGATCCAACATGGTTTTTGACTTCTCGGTGTTGCCTACAGCACTGGGATTTCCTGATGTTAGCCAAAACCATTTTTTTAAGAGCAGTTATGGGGCTCTTGTCTGTTGTGGCTATGTGGGAAGCCAGCAGGGAAGGTCGCAAATCATGATCACACAACCATGGGACATTGCAACTGTTGAATAAGCAAGTTGCCAAACACCCAGATTGTGATCATGTGATGGTGAAGCTGCAACTTTGAGGATCAGTTGTAACCCCCACTCGTTCAGTGCCATTGTAACTTTGAATGGTTGCTGAACAGGTAGTTGTTAGTCAAGGACTACTTGTACTTGCTGATGATCAAGTGTGCCATTAAGAACTGGTTGGACAACAATGGCAGAGATAACAACGGGAGGGCAGATCTGTGGGAGATCTGCCCTCCAGATTTTAGGTTCTGTATCAACCATGACACCAAGATCATGGAGGTGGATAACTCTGGTAATTACTCCAGCAATTGCAAGGCAGTGACCTAGCAATGATTGTTACAAATTTCTTTGTGTTGAATTGAGCTGTAGAGACAAGTGGGCTGCTGGTAGCATACCATCCATTTAACTACCTAGTCTTTCATCAGTTCTCTCATAATCACCGCAGAGATGATGTTAGGATATCTAAGATTTCAAATTCGGGTGTTTTTGAGTTCCATGTAAGTGGATCATGGGGTAGCTTGTAAATTTAGGTCTTCCAGGGTGACCATGACTTGTTGTAAGTAATCACAGCTCCAACATACATGACACTTTGGATCTGTACTTTACTTTGGAGCAGATGAGATATGAATTTGATATGGAACACGTTAATATTTATCTTTACTAGGGTCAATATTCTTTATCAAAATGCACATCACACATGTAGGAGACCTTTGCATAGGGAATCAACCACTTAAGATTGCTCCACCCAAAATCCTAGTATATCTGGATGAATTCTAGGGGACAGTTGATTTCTGGACTAAGAAGACAACCAGAGTGCTGAACAAAATTGCTGTTGTGAGACCTCTCTCAATCATTCATCCCATGCAGCTCCATGGTTCACCAAGGATCTAATGGAGATGAAACAATCACAAAGGAGTAGGACTAGGCACTGGTATAATTTGTTTGAGCCTATACAATGATAGTCCGAGTAGCAACCTGTCAGTTCTTCTGTTTATTGTATCTGGAAATCAATACTCGTGGTTCTGTTGTGGAAATGTATGGCAATGTGTGTGTATATGTGCACCTGTGGAAATGTGTCAGCTGGACACATTTATTAGGGGGAAGAGAATCTCTTAAGATGGTTTCAGTTGGAGTTGGCAACATATATCTTCAGATATTGGCAATATCTACCTTTCTTAATCCTGAAATTTTTTCATTCCTACTCTATGCAAATTGTTATTGTCATCTTTGGTCTTTTTTTTATAATATTAAGGTAAAGGGGGAGAATGAACAAAAGAAACAGAAAATAATACAGGTAGTCCTCAACCATTCATTTAGTGATCGAAGGTACTACAGCACTGAAAGAAGTGACTTATGGCCATTTTTCACACTTATGACCATTGCAGCATCCCTGTGATAATGTGATCAAATTTCAGGCTCTTGGCAACTGGCATGTATTTCAATTTGCACTATCCCAGAGTCATGTGATTAATGTTTGTAAACTTCTCAACCAGCTTTCAACAAGCAAGGCAATAGGGGGAATCCAGATTCGCTTAACAACTGCATGATCCATTTAACAATTACAGTGATTCATTCAACAACTGTAGCAAACAAGACCATAAAATGGGGCAAAACTCACTTAACAACTGCCTTGCTTAGCAATGGAAATTTTAGGCTCAATTTTAGTCATAAGTTAAGGATTATCTGTAATTTATTCCTAACAGAATATCATTTTATAAATATACATAAAGATGACCTCAAAATAAGTTATTTGGAAAATATGTTTCTAAAATACAGTTAATACTTCATTATTTTGAAACTGAATAGATCTTACTATTCTATCTAACTATCATTGCTGATATTAACATCAGTATTTCTTTTTAGTAAAAATGTTTTGAATAAAAAGTAAATTAACAGTAACTTTTATGGGATGCGGTGACTCAGTGGCTAAGACGCTGAGTTTGTCAATCGAAAGGTTGGCAGTTTGGCAGTTTGAATCCCTAGCACAGCATAACAGAGTGAGCTCCCGTTACTTGTCTCAGCTTCTACCAATCTAGCAGTTTGAAAGCATGTAAAGATGCAAGTAGAAAAATAGGAACCACCTTTGGTAGGAAGGTAACAGCGTTCTGTGAGCCTTTGGCATTTAGTCATGCCAGCCACATGACCATGGAGACATCTTCAGACAGTGCTGGCTCTTCGGCTTTGAAATGGAGATGAGCACCGCCCCCTAGAGTCAGGAACAACTAGCACATATTTGCGAGGGGAACCTTTACTTTTAATGGTAACTTTACTGGTGATCAGGATTTTAAAAATGATATCAAATTAAAATTCATGACTTCAGAACATTTATATTGAAACTTGCAAACCTAGTTTATGAATGTGTATGCAATATACAAGGAACAATAAAAAAAAATCATACTAAGGTAGCTTCGTATTTTGTTAGATGAACTTGCCAGTTTATTTTGTTCTGTATCTATCACACATTTGTGAATCTATTTTGATTATTTGTAATAGTCTATATAAGTGAAGCAAATCCAGATGCTATTGAATATGATAGGTCATCCGTTTTCTGCACCAATCCCAGAAACAGGATCCAGGGCAAAAGAAAACCCTCTTCCTTTTTAAAAGTCAGTTTATGAACTCTTCCTAGTTGCTCTTTTAATCAGAATACTGTATTCTTCTGCCAGCTTCTTTTGTTCATTTAATTTTTCCAGCACTGCATCCATTAAATACGAAGCAAAAGGAAACTGGAAGGGAAACAGAGTAAGAAAAATCATCAGTGAAGCCTATATATATGTATATATATTTTCAGCTAAAAACATTTACTAAGTATCTTCAAGAGATTAGATTTCACTTAGTCCTGACGATGATACTCCTACACAGGAAGTGCCTTTCCCTAAAATGGATCCTTTTGATTAGTGTAACTGTTCCTTATCATAAAAATGATAAAAGAGCAGAATAAAATGAAAAAAAGATAAACGCCTTATTGAACAATTCATGGTTTACTGACCATGTTAATGATGTAATCTGCAAGACCAGCAGCTCTGTCATTTATCTTCAATCAGCTGATCAATATGAAGTTACAGTCATCTCTAGGGCACTTATAAGTAGACGCAGCACTACAGGCTGACTGCTCTCAAGAGGGGAAGAGACAGAGCTATCAATACAGTTCCAAGCGCTGGGGGCAAAGGCTTTCAGAGGCAACCAGTGAAACTTGTGACTCAAGGCAGAAAATAACTTCCGAGATCAAGACACAATTAGAGTATTCTAATCAAAACTCTCTCCCTCCTTCTCTTTTGGAGCAGTGACGAAAATGGAAGAAGACATATGACAAGATCCCACCCATTTCCAGAGATGGAAATATTGTAGGAGAGGGAGGTATGTTTCCCCCCATCCCCACCCCTCATGCCATCATCTCCAGCCTGGCTTTATTTTATTTGAAATTCACGTTCAAGTTAGAGAAAAATATGATTCACAAAGTGGTTGTGACAGAAATGAAGATTTAACTATGAGGGAACTCACTAATACTCAGCTCACTTCAGCAAATGAACTCTCTGCCAACAGGTCCTATTCTACCACATCAGCCCAACAATGGGCTGTAATGGCAGAAAACGGACAGGCAATTTCCCGAATGATCCCTGAACTATGTCTGGGAGAATATGAAAAAAACTGTAACCATAGCAGACAAAAAGAGGGAAAAACATTTCTTTTCCTGCACGTTTGATATGGAAATCTCAAATGTTGTGGCAGAGGTAACAAGAAGCAGCTTAGCTTGCACATTAAGCAATAATGGAAAATCAATCAGTTGAAAAATTGGTTGGACTGAGAGAGATGCAAGTTTTGTATAACAGGAATTTAGAATAAACAAGTAACTTGAGATATGTAAGGAGATGGGAGACGTTTTGCTAACAAGCTAGTAAGTCCAGAAAAGGCTTCTGGATGAGAGATGTCTGACTCCTGCGCAGGGCAAATGGTAGCAATGTGGGATTTCCCCAATTGCATAATTTGATGTCATCTTGACAAAATCATAATGAAGCCACAAGGCATATGTGCCTATATTTATGCTTGGTAATATCAAAATGTTTTCTTAATATTCTATATAAGAAAACCTAGATATGTAGGGAAATTTGTATTTCTTTGTTATGCTTGGGCTTGGAAAAAATAAATGTGTCCACCCCCTCACGTTGGTTGAGCTGGGGGGCTGTGTTCTGTGTCAAAATCATGAATGAATATATGTATGTATGTATGTATGTATGTATGTATACACACACACACACACACACACACACATATATATATATATATGATGAGAGCTGATGAGAGCTAAATAGCTTGAAATAGACCTATACTAGTCTCCCTTTATTTATTTATCAGCACAAATACAACACACACACACACACACACACACACACACACACATACACATGTTGTGTTTGTGCTGATAATCAACATTTAATTTCTGTTTTTGTGATTATTTTTACTTGCAGGAAATTTTTTTGTGATGACTTGTCAAATTTCAAATGTACTAGTGAAGCCGCAAAGTTGGGTTTTCTGTCCTTACATAATTAATTTGATGGAATTTAAATCTCTATTTGTAGGTATCCTTTGTTAAATGGGGGGGGGGAAGCCTTGTGTTTAGAGACGGTTTCTGATTTTGATCAACTCTACTGTATAATATTCAAGCACAGCTAATTCAGCAGTATGAGAAGAAAAAAAAATCTTTTTGCCATCTTTAGTTTTCATATCCAATCATAAATAAAGCAGTATCATTCAGTCAGGTGGTTTTTAAAAGAAAAAATGTTCCTATTTATTTATGTTTTTAAATGTGAAGTTATAAAGTACATGTTCTTCAGCATGCAGTTCCCATTCTCTATTCCTCCTTCAGGCTCTGTTTTCTGAAGTCCCCCAAACTTGTTTTGCGCTATGTAGGTCTCCATTTACTTTTGATACATCTATTATTTTTAGTGTTTTCTATTAGATGAATGTATTATTCCACCACTGTCTTGGGCTTGCGATCATTCTATACTTTGCTTGCTGTTCATCACGTTCTAAGCTGCTTTGTCACTGTAAAATGATTTTTAAAGAGCTGTTTCTATCTTAATCATTCAGTGCAATCAAGGATAACAGGCATTTGAAAATGTTGCAGACATCTTATACATTTATCAGTTTCTGGGAACTGTTCTTATCTAGTTCACTTTATAGATATGCATTCTACGGGGCACCTTTACAGTCTTCATCTTCTACTGAAGCCTATCACATTTTTTTTATTAATAGTCAAATAATATATTGACATTTTTCTTCTTCCTTCTGAACATGGTGCCCATTGAACATCTTTGGTTGTACTGGCTGAGGATTAGGTAAATTGAAATCCATCTTGAGCCTATCAAATTAGGAAAAATTATCCATATAAACTAAAGATGGTTTCTCCTTTTCAACACTCACTGGAGTGTCCAAGTTGAACCAAACTTGCATTCTGCAACATGGGAACATGGGAACTTGAACATTTTTTTGTTCTCTTGCTTTTTACCCTAAAGGCATAAATATATGCAGGATGATAGCCCTTGTTAACTACACCCTCCCCCTCCCCTTTTAAATCCTAATATTAAACAGTAGAAGCGACATTTTTGTCAGCCTGGCTGTACAAATAGAAAGCCAGGAAAAAAGCAATAGCAACATGATAGCTTTTTATTAAAGCTCCTCTTTCCAATTAACAAGCACAGTTCATATGTATGTATCTGACAGCAAAACTCAACCAATCACTAAAGAAACATTCTTTTTGCACTTAGCATGCAACCTGAAAAATCAACATCAACAAAACCATGCGCAATCATAAGTCAAAGTTCAAGAAACAAAAAAACCAACACAATCTTTACATTTTACAACCTGAAACTCATCAGCGCTAGTAGAGATACCTGTGCAACTCATACGATAGCTATCCCCATACAAAATAATGCATAACAGAAAAAAGAACAATATACATAATCCAATCCAGGAAAACCTAACTTCCTCACAACAACAATAACAATAGCAGCTGCCAAAGTTATCAGGTATATGGTAAAGCAAAAGCAATCTCTGTTGGTTTTAATTTTGTGACTGGTTATTTAGAGTAACCTCTGTATGCAGATGCAGGTCCTGCCTCATCTTGTAAAATCTGGATTTAAGAACATCATCTGTCTATGAGTGTATTCTTAACAATTGATGCTGCTCCCTCTTCCTTATTTTCTCAACCAGTATGACCCCTATCATATTATTATTGCTCTGGAAAACAAAAAACCCAGATCCAAACACATTTTTAAAAACAGCAAATCAAATATGGGATTTGAGATTCAAAGCAATGCCCTTGAAACTGCCATTTTTTCCAGAACTAAGAGAAAACTCTAGGAACGTAGCTATTTCCTTTCAAGCACAAACCATGCTTTATATCTTTGTTGATATCATTATGGGAATCTGAATTTAAAATATTGAAAGATACATTCTAGCAGTAGGTACAGTTTCCACCAAAGCAAATGATAACATTCTGACTTGAAGTGCTATGAATGTAAGCAAAAATTAATTGCATGGTGAAATGCTGTAAGGCATTTGCTTTGAAAATGCACTGAGATGTAACAATTAATGGTACAAATACCTATTTATACAGCTGTATGTTTAGGACCAAGATATACATGTATTTTAAATAATATCCATAACAATAAGCTTGTCTGCAGGCTTACTATTAAACGACTTGTGCCCATGAAAGGAAACTGATGGTGGTGGATGGGAAGGGAAAATCTGGAGAGAGTCAGAAGATCAAGTGACAGACGCCAAACCAAAGAGTTGGCTTATAGGCAGCTGTCTGAATGAAGTGACAGCTTGACAGCTATTGAGGGTCAAGTGGTTATTCATTTTAAAAGTCATATTAAAGGCTGTTCAAGAAATAATACAGGGAATTCTCATGTTAGGAAAGCAAAATGCAACAAGATACCCCAATAAGTGGCAGAAGAAAGGCATGCAGAGTTTCAATCTTATTTTAATAACATGCTAAGTCAGGGAATAAAAGAAAGGGCAAGTTTTCAATGAAGAGGATAATGCCTTACATACATTTTCTTCAGAGAAGGATGATTGCTGGTTGTTCCGTATTCGGAAATCTGAGATTATTGACAGCAGGAGCTGCAGAAGGATGCACTTTCAAATACTTTCTTGACAACCAGAGAGAGGGGAACAGAGCAGGAAGAGAAGAACTCTCTGGTTCTTGTATTTCTCTACCCTTTGCCTTGCAGCTTGACCAGATATCAAGATATTTCACAGATTAATTTGACTGATGACAAGTTGTTTTAAGTCCATCAAAGATTTGTCTTCAGAGTCTTCCATTTGAATTAAAATCTAAAAATCAGTAAATATTCCTTTCCTTACTGTAGTATGACCATATGGCTTAATGTGTGTTTACTTGGTGAGCAATTTGTCACTGCTCTCTGCTTTACACTTACGTCCTGTTTATTCAGCTAATTTTTTGTGTCATGATGTATAATCCCTTTTCATCAGCCATGGCAATGTAGAGCTCAGATTACATTATAGTACATTACAAGCCCAAAGCTATGAAAAGCAGTTTTACTCAAGTCTGTGACAGCTTTGAAGTTAATGGTGCTTGCATTATGTAATAGATCCTTCATGATCTACCTATCATGGTGGTTTTAAACTTCCTTTAATGTAAGGATGCTGGAAGCTTTCCTCTTTGGAGTTCACAAGAGCAAGACCTCTTGAGAAAAGACAC